ATAATTCTGGGCTTAGAGAAGACTTACAAAAATATAGCACACATAGTTACCATATACCCTTTACCCACCTTCCTCTAATGTTAGTATCTTATATTGCCACAGTATGAATATCAAAACAAAGAAATTAACATCAGTACAATACTATTAACTAAACTACCAACTTTATTTCGATTTCACCAGTTTTTCTACCAATGCCCCTGCCTAGTCCAGGACCCAACCCAGGATCCCACATTGCAGTTAAGTCATCATGCCACCTTAGTTTCTCCAATCTATGAGAGTTCCATCATCATTCTTTGTCTATCACGAGGTTGACACTTCTGAAGTTATCAGGCCAGGTATTTTGAGGAATGTCCTGCCATGTGAGTTTTTCAGGTTTCCTCACGATTATATTAAGGTTATGCATCTCGGAGGAGAGCACTTCAAAAGTGATGTGTCGTTCTCAGAGCATCTTATCATGGGTTCCATGAAGTCAGTATCTTACTTACTGGTGATGTTAACCGTGATCACTTGGTTAAAACTGTGCTTTCCAGATCTCTCCACTGTAAAGTTAGTCATTTTACCTTTGTAAATGATAAATATTCACAGGGAGATATCTTGAGAGTATGGAAATACCCTCTTTCCTAAACTTTTGCTTACTAATTTTAGCATTCATAGGTGAATCCTGAATGAGCAATTTTCACTCAGGAGTTTTAATGGTAATTTCCTACTTTCCTCACCTCTTTTACATTAATTGGAATTCATCTGTAAGGAAGACATGTCCCTCTCAACACTTTATTTATTTAGACAATCAATCATGTATTTATGCAATATAGACTCATGATTACATACTTTATCCTTTGGATCATAAACTAACACTATATATTTTATTACTGAAATTGTTTCAGCTTTTGCCAGAGGACTCTTCAGGTTTGGGTACTTTCTATGTCTCGCTTTTTTTTTTTTTTTTTTTTTTTTTGGTAGAGACAGGGTTTCACTATGTTACATCACAAAATTCTCCAGGCTCATCTTTTTTTCTTCCCCCATAATAGTGCTGAAATCAGTCACGCCCTCAAGGAGCCTTGATTCCTTTTATTGGAGAAGAATATTTAGAAACCCAGATCTGGCTGCTAGATGTGCTCATTAACATCATATTTAATGGTGAAAGGTGCTTTTCTCCCTAAGACTAGAAACAAAGTCAGGATGCTCACTCTTATCACTATTCACATGATATTGAGGGTCTTAGCCAATACAGAAAGGCAAAAGAAGAAAGAAAATGCATGCAGATTAGAAATGAAGTAAAACTTTATTTACAGAAGATATGATTGTCTGTGCAGAGAATTGTAAGTAATCTACAAAGAAGGTTACTACAACTAATTCTTGCAAGCCTGCAGGAGAAAAGGTCAGTATGAAAAAACCAGCTGTATTTCTATATAGTGGCAGCAAAACAAAGTGAAAATGAAATTCTAAATATCATTTCCCTTGGAAGACATGAAACACTTAAGGATAAACCTAACAAAATTTGTGTAAGACTTAAACATTGAAAATTACAAAACATTACTGAGAGAAATTAAAGATGACCTAAATAAATGGAGATAAATTGCATTCATGGATCTGAAGACTCACTGTTAAGATGTCAGCTCTCCCTAAATCTATCTACAGATTCAACACCGTCTCACACAAAATCTTAGCAGACTGACAGAGTGTAAAATTTATGTAGAAATCTATATAGACATTATTCTAGATAAATTCATGCTACAAAACACCCTGCTAGAGAATCTTAAAGCTTGAAGGTACTTAAAGAATTGTATCTTTTGCATGAGTAAATGACCTGTCCATGTCCACAAAGAAAGCAAGAAGCAAATCCAGGACCAGGATCCAACTTTGTTCTTTCATGTTTTGATACTGTGCTCTTTAGAGTGGAACATCACGCTACTTGTAATTCAGATTACTTCACTTTTTACTTTGCCTAGAAGAGATTCAGATCTCCTCAACAGATGCCAGAATCTCTAGATGTGCCATCACCTCTTGATGTGCAGCAATAAGTAGAAAAATAGCCAATAATTATGTGATAATAAATTAACAAGAATAAATTTACCAAAACTTATTAATAAAAATGTAACAATAATCCCTGATCTTAGGAATTAATTGACTTTTACAATAAATTACACATTTTAAAGATATAAGGACTCCATAAAAATGTTTTATTTTATAAATGATTTAGTAATTTACACTAAAACACTGAAATTTTAACTGAATTCATTAAAACAGCTACTAACGTCAGGCTGGTTCTCAATTAATTTCGTGTTCATCTGTGATATGATACAAACCCAAATAGACTCAATCACATTTTCCTTTCAGAAAGAAACTGAAATTTAAAAGTGCTGCTATAATAAAGTTGCTCCTTCAAGTATGTATGGGGCTGCAGAGAACACCAGAGCCTCGGGGGTCACACAGGATGCCGTGAGTAAGCCTGTAGATGGCATCAATCCACGACCAATCTATCATTTACAGAAACAGCCATTTTTTGGTTGTGCTTCTTTATGCAAGATATTTAACACTTTTGCTCAAATTAAGTGGCACCCATTTAAAAAAAATAATTATAACAACTTGAAGGAATTTATCTACATACGTCATCAGAAGTTGTTTTGGCAGCTCCTCCTCCCTGCCAGAGCTGCTGGCTCCCCTAATTCCATTCCCACATGGTAGCTGCTGGCTGTCTTACTATCACCTTTACACTGGGCGTGTCTAGCCCAGTGGAGCTGAGACAGGATAGGCCTTGCTTCCTTACTGGTATACTGGTTGGGCTCTCAGAGCTTTCTCCAGGTGGGGCCAAACTCTTATTTAACATGAATAGCTGAACACTGAGATAAGGAAACTTTGTAGCTAACCTTATTGTCCTCACAGGACTAAGGAGGTCCATATTTTGGCCCTTCTTTGAATTTACAGGGCCACATTGGTACCCCAACCACTGTCTCTTAAAGAAATGGTTCTTTTCCTCTTCTTTTTTTTGGAGTAAGTCCTCCTAGAAGAGGGTGTCTAGAAGGGATGATATTTAGTTGTAGCTTATTATTAGCTATTTATTAAAAATAAAACCATGCATGATTTCTGGGAGACACAGCAAGCCCTCATCTCTTCCAGGTTTTTTTGTTGTGTACTGACACGATGAAAACAGTACACAGCTCATCAGGGGCATTCCTATATAGGCATGCAACTCTTAAGGAACATCCTCAGTGATACAAAGTGGATGTAAAATTGTCTATAAGAAGATAAACATTTAGCACATTTAAGAATGCTCAAATGCTTCTCATCAAAGTTGTGAAGGATTCAGTACTTAACATGGTACTTTAGACATAGAAGAAACTCAGGATATGTGAGTTGAATTGAGTAGAGGTGTCTAACATGAGGCACCTATTTTAAATTCCTAGTTACAAGAAACAGATCGAAAATCACCACACTCCCAGTGACCAATAACATAATACAGACATGAAGTGCTTGTGTTACTTCCTCCTAACTCATCTAATTCATATGACATAATTCTATCTTTACCTTAAGGCTTAACAGAGAAGAACACCTGGCACATAATAGACGCGAAATAAATGTTGTTGACTAATAAATGTTTCAGAGAAAAATATGAAATGTTGGAATAAACTGAAAGGGATGAACTAAAAATAATTACAGAAAAATTTGGAGTAAATTATTGAATGAAAAATATTTCATAGTAAAAATTTTATATAAGCATCTGAAAATCAAAATATCAAAATCAATGAATGTACTAACAATATCTGAGGTGGTTAAAAAAAAAAAGCGGGTAGCGGGGGACAGACATAATAATATCCCGTTCCTGAACTTAAGCAAAAATTGCAGTATTTAAAACAGGAAGGGTGGGTGCAGTGGTTCACATAATCCCAGCACTTTGGGAGGCCAAGGAGGGAGGATTGTTTGAGCCCAGGAATTCAATACCATACCAGGCAACATGGCAAAACCTACAAAAAGTACCAAAAAATTAGGCAGGTATGGTAACTCACACCTGCAGTTCGAGTTACTTGGGAGGCTGAGGTGAGAGGTAGAGGCTGCTGAGCTGTGATTGTGCCACTGCACTCCAGCCTGGCCAACAGAGACCTTGCCTCAAAAAATACATAAATAAATAAAAACAAGTAATAAGCAGATCACAATAAAACTAAACATATATAATTAGTAGTGTTCTTTTTTTTTTTTTTTTTAAGCGATTGGGTCTCACTCTGTCATCCAGGCTGGAGTACAGTGGTGTAATCACAGCTCACTGCAGCCTCAACCTCAACCTCCTGGGCTCAAGCGATTCTCCTGCCTGCCTTAGCAGCCTCCTCAGGAGTGTGCCACCACGCCCAGCTGACTTTTTTATTTTTCTTGTAGAGATGGAGTCTCACTGTGTTGCCCATGCTGGTCTCAAACTCCTGGCCTCAAGTGATCCTCCCACCTCGGCCTTCCAAAGTGCTGGGATTACAGGCATGAGCCACCATGCCTGGCCTAGCAGTATTCATTTTGTGGGCAATAAAGTTCTGTTTCAAATGACAGAAAAGTCCAAAATAAGACATTGTGTTTACTACTTCATTAAATATTAAAAACAAATTTCTTTAAATTCCTTTTAAAACAAAGATTTGTATAAATGAATCTGAAGTGTTTACTTTAAAATTAAAGACATAAGGGCAAATTAAACATTTTTAACTAGTTTTTTAAAGAAAAAATAATACTGGGTATCTTTTTTAAAATTAAAGAAATAACGAGAGGCAAACTAACAAATTATTATGGGAAAAAATAGAAAAATAAATTCTGTGATCATGTTGAGTAAAATTTCAAGAGGCATTTAGGGAGTCAAAATTATAAGTAAAATTTTGTGCACAGAAGTTCAGTATTCACTTAAATGTCGGTAAAATGGAAAGTATCATTACATCATTAACTTTTAATCACTTAAAATATTTTTACTATAAATTCATTTTAGCAGTGCAGCCAAAATATATACACACTATGCCATAAAGATATCTTACCTTTTTATCATATACATCTTGCCAGTTTACTCCAGAAAAGAAACTGTGTCTCATAATTTCTTTTGCATCATCTGGTCCTCCACCAAGGCTATGAGAACAGAAATAAAATTAAGTACAAAACATTTACATAAGCTCAAAGCATAACAAAAAAAAAAAAAAGGTTTTGTGAAAGTGTAATTTTCTGCACAATAAATAGTTCTTGGGATAAACAGCTCTAAAAGTAAACAGCTTTTGCTATAAGTTCTATTTTTCCTAATATGCTTATAAGAACTAGCTTCAGAAGAGTACAGTATTTGGAAAAGAGCAGAGGCTTTGGAGATAGATCTGGAAGAAGCAACCATCTCTGGCACTTATGAGATGTGTGACAACAGAAAAGAGGCTTAACCTCAGTTTTCTAATCTGCAGAGTGAGGAATAATAATATTTGCTGGTGGGTCACTGCAATGGTTAGAAACAACATAGGAATATGGTTTGGCTGTGTCCCCACCCAAATCTCATCTTGAACTGTAGCTCCCATAATCCCCATGTGTCATGGCAGGGACCAGGTGGGAGGTAACTGAATCATGGGGGCAGGATTTTCCCATGCTGTTCTCATGAGAGTCAGTAAGTCTCATGAGATCTGATGGTTTTACAAAGGGCGGTTCCCCTGCACATGCTCTTGGGTGCCACCATGTAAGATATGCCTCTGCTTCTCCTTCACCTTCTACTATGATTGTGAGGCCTCCCTAGCCAAGTGGAACTGTGAGTCCAATAAACCCATTTTTCTTTATAAATTATGCAGTCTCAGGTATTTCTTCATAGCAGTATGAAAATGGATTAATAATAGGTAAGGAAATTCTGGTGTTTTCTGGCTTATTCAATTTAATATAGTACATACTACTAAGAATAAAGGAACTAAAAGTGAGAAATAGAAAGAACAGGAGGAAATGAGGGAAAAAGAACAAGAAAAGGAAGAGAAAATAAACCTATATATCTGAATTTAATATAGTTGGCTTTATTTGGACTTGTTCATTATTAGAAATGATATGTACCGGTAAGTGCTTAACAACCAGCTCTCTGTGAGCAATCATGCATTTATACAAATATAATTTTTTCTTTTTTTTTTTCCAAGGGCATAGTAGATACCAGGTGCTCAGAGCAGAGCAGCCATGGAGCTGCTGGGACCGAACCTTGCCTGACCTAGCCACAACCACACCCCAGACATAAAAATTTAAATTTTACTGATATAAAGAATGCAAAACACAAAATTTACAAAGATCATAGAATATACAATGTTGTGTATTGTAAATTAGTCACCTGATTCTCACAGAAAACTTCTTAATTTTTGTTGTACTCCAAAGCCACTAATGGATGCAACTTACGATTAGTTTCAATATGAATACTGGTTGACATTTTCGTTTATGCTAAAGTCAAAGCTGAAAGTGATACAATGGAGACTTCAGAACTTCACTTTTCAGTTATGTGAGTGACTTCTTTGCTAAATGGTTAATAACTTTGGGACAGTGGAAGAAGACTCACTTTTTGGTGCTATTTACAATGTAATGAATATGGACACAACAAACTTTTAAATTTAATCTGCATTATTAACATTTTCTCTTAAGTCTAAACAATCAACAAGACCGTAAGTCCAGCCCCAACTCATACTATTTGCCAATTCTGGTGGTATAAATTCTCCTACCGTGGCCAATTTTGAGCTACCAGTAAGATGTCACTGAACACGTAGGCAGAAAGAGATGCATCGTAGAAAACCATTATATATTATGTCCATAGAGATACAGCAGACATAACTAATCTCAAAAATACAGATAACAGTGAAACATAACAAATTAAGGAGTAATGAGTTTTGAGTATTTATGACCTTTGCTTTTCCTATTCTTAACTAGTAAATTTATATAATTTTTAATAATGACCATAATCTACAACCAGCTCACAAAATTGGTGAAAATTTCACAGTTGGTTCTTGAGAGCTGGTATATGCTAACTCCAACACACCACTGGGTTGGAAGAAAACCAAGTAGGTCACAGAAAACAAATACAGATGCTCCTAAACTTAACAATGGGTTATGTCTAGATAAACCCACATTTCAACTTAAGATGGGTTTATCTGGATGCAATTCCATCATTAGTTGAGGAGCATACTAAATACGCATCACTTTTGCACCATCATAAAGTAAAAAAATTGTCAAGCCATCGTAGGTTGGAAATCATTTATAATTATACAATTCTAATGACTTCTGGTTATTAGATCTAAGAAACACATGACTGGGAAGGACCTAGGATCCTTTGACACACAGTCAAAATGGAAAACAGTCAACTGATACCTGAGTATCTTCAGTGATGATAAATGATTCACATCAGCTGGGTCTCCAACTCCCAGATCCTTATAAAATTCTCTAAATGAACTACACCCCAGAGATGGGACTTTTAGGTTTGATCATAATAGTGCTGTTTGATGTTTGCATTTGGAATTTTCAGACTGGTAGTTCTGTAGTCAGCGAGAGCTCAGCATTTCAGACCCTGCCCTCTTTTTAATTCTACTTCAATTGTGTAGGGTTTCTTCCCCAGGAGACTGCAAACTCCTTTGAAGACAAGGAGAGTGCTGGATTATCCAAAAGGCATTCTAAGCTTGTGCTGAGGGAACCAGAGAAGCAAAAGCACCAAAACACGTTTCTGAAAAGCATTTAATATCTTCAAGCATGCATCAACATAGTCTGCATGAGAAACATCAAAGCTCCATGGCATTTTCTTACACTTATGTTATAGTTTATTTCAATACTGTTTTCATTTGAATTGTACTTGAGATGGGAGTTGGAGTGGAGAATCATAATCATTTTGTAAATAAAATGTTTTAATCCAGCTTTAGTTATCCATTTTTGTAACTCCTCAAGTTTTCTAGCAATACTTTGGTTTTGAACATAGCCAGCATTTATTCTATATTTATCAAATACATGTAAAACTAAAATATCAGCTATGAATACTATGCAAAGTCTGAGAATACAATCAGACTTCCATTTTAGAAGCTAGGAGAAATTCTTTAACACACTTCCTCAATGTGTGAAACTGTCAAAAATTTCAGTGTCAATGACTCTCTAATATACAATTTAAGACTTCAAAAATAATAACAAAATATGCTTTGAAGTAAGATATTTATGTCTAGAATACTAAACTCCAGTATCAGAATGCCAAACTAAATCCTCAGCTACTATGAATTCCTTTACTATTAGGAACATCACAGAATTCACATTTTCCTAATGTTACTGAATACATGAGGTCATGTTTTTCCTATCAACTCTGCATAGGAAGATAAAGGAGGGGCTAACAGAATGAACATAAAGGATGGAGAGTAAGAAATAAAAGCAAAATGATAGTTGACCCTTGGATAGCACTAACAGCAATTCAATAAGACATACCAGAAAAATCCCAGTAGTATTTAAAATAGCTGTGTAGAAAAAATGAAGAGTTGTATTATAACGCTATCATTACTTATGTTTCCAAAGACTTTTCAAGATCCTTGTTAGTTTTCTTTTCTTTCTGCCCCTGAAACTGAGGTTCCCTAAGATTCTGTCCTGAGGCCCTCTTCTCCTTATCCACTACCCTCGCCACTACTGCCTTGGCTCTAGCTACCTCCTAGATATAGTTATGGCTCCCAATCCATATAGTCAGTTACTGTGTTTTTTTAAGCATTGATTCTATTATTTCCAGCTGCTCACTTGACATTTCCTTCTTGGTTTTATATAGAAACTTCAGACTCAGTGTACCCAAAGTTATTATCAACAACTACCCCCATCAAGTCTCGCTGGTTTGCATACCCTGTCTGTTAATCACCCTAGCTGGAAACCTCAGAGGGATTCCTGACTCCTCCTACTTCCTCACAGTTTCTAGTTAATCATAACCTCTATCACTTGTGTACTACTGCTTCAGGAAGGACTCCATCTATTATCTGAACAATTCCATAAATATTCTTTAAAAAAAAAAAAAAAAAAAAAAAAAAAGAAAGAAAGAAAAAGAAAAGAAAAAAAAAAAAAAAGATAAAAGTCACTACTCTGTTTAAAGGTTACCTATCACCAGGTGCTGCTCCTTACTTAATTGTAAAAGAATGCTATTAAACGGAACACATTTCAAAACTTGAACTAAGAAATTGTTGCACTGTAAATAAGATACATACGAAATACCAAATAGGCACCAAGAAACTTGATTTCTACTCTTGGTCTGCACGAATGTTCTGAGAGACCTTGAATAAATCACCTAACCCTCTCTGGGCCTTTGTTTTCAACTCAATGAAATGGAAATGAGAATAGTATCTCCCCTATCCACCCAACAAGGCTACTGAAAAAGCCAGGGAGTTCATGTATGTGACAGTGCTCTGAAAAAGAAAACAAAATCACTTTACACATACAAAGAATGTCTGTAGCCAGGATTACAAAATGATTCTTGAATAATTCTTCACAAAGCAAAAAAACAGTGGCTCTTTTATTATGTTTGCTTATTTCTGCTGAAGATAAAGCCATGCTCCTTATAAGGCTAAAAGCTAGAAGAATGCAATGAAAACCGTTTCTAAGATAGAGTTAAAAATCCAACTTTTTGGGATTCACTCATTAATCCAGTAAGTATATACATATACATATACACATATATATGAGCATCAACCATAAATAAAACATTTTCATAAAACCCTATGTGAGGTATTATAAAAGATTCAACAATATGTGAAATCATCTATGCTTCAAATGAGTAGACTCAGAGAAATACTGATATGCATAGATACCTAGATGGGAAGGCAGATATATACATATACAAACACACATATTAAGAGACATTTTGAAAATTAATAGTCATTTCACATGATTTATGAATTTATAAACATGAATGAATGTATAAACATGAATAAAAAATACTGTAGTTCACTGAACAAAGCAGCAAGATCCATAGGATTCTTCAAGTCATAGCCATAGCTACAAAAACAGAAATACAAAGTGTGTACAATTTTTTTTGCCATCAACCCTTTCAGCTATGCATAGAAAAGATTATTTTCAAATGACAAAAAAGCAGTTAGAGGCCGGATGTGGTGGCTCACACCTGTAATTCCAGC